GTTTTATTCAGTCTCACAAGTATTTATTTTGTGCCCTATTTTATCTTCTAGTCCTTCCTGTGATGTGGCCGAGGGCGCCATTACATAAAATTCAAATGATAAAGGTACACACACCAGTGAAGAACAAGAAAGTGTTTTTGACTCATATTTGCTGATTTTTAGTTTTATTCCAAAGCTTCAAGCACACAAGGTCCGCTCACTTTAGAGAGTGCAGTGGTTAATCTCAAATAATTATAGGGATCATTCATGACAGTTTAACAGTTTTACAGTTTATAACACCATGTTTCCAAAGCCCCGGGTGAATGGTCTTTTGTAGAAGTTATCGAAGAGCGCATTGCTGCAGGGTGTTCCTCAGTTACATCTCTCTTTAGTTAATAATGGAACTGTATTTTCAATGTAAACGTTTTTGATAATACCATCTGAACAAATTTTGTTAAATATGGTTTCTAAGATCATTTGAAAAGTTGCTGCCATAAAAATAAACACAGCAAAATATAGGATTAAGTGATCGCATTGCCAGTGTATTAGTGCACTCCAGCAGTTAAAAGTGAATTTAACACTTTTAAAGAGTGTAAACACTTGCACCAACACCAGGGTTAAAGGATAAGTGTCCCCAAACAGTTATCAGTGATAGTTTTGGTTTAATTTGCTTACATTTTGAAATATCTGCCTCTGAGAATTGTGCCTTCACTCAAATACAGTGGAGGATGAATGAAATTTGCTAGGATGTGGTCAAAGCAATACAAAATTACATTTAAATTTTTGAATAGTTTTATCTCTTTCAAGTTTTATCTGCTTACCCTAGATAATCAATAAATCACACAGTCAGCAGTTTTTTAGGTACTGTTTTGGGGAGGCGTGGGGGTAGTAGTTCCAGTGAAAGCAGTTCACAGTGAACTCTGGTGCTGTTCAACTTTGAACATGCTCTCGTTCAGTGCTGTGAACACCATTGTCAAAATTCCAATCACCTCCACTGTAATGGAGTGGAGGCAGAAAACTGAGATGTATATTTCAAAGCTAAAGCTACATACCACTTGAGTTAAATGATAAAATGTTTTTTTGTAATTTGCCTGCATTGACCATTTAAGTAAAAGGTCTTGTGAAAACCTGATACTTCACTACATACATTAGCAGTGGAAGTGAAGCAGCGAGCTGCAGTCAGGTCTCCTGTAGACCTCACAGGTTTGTCTCAAGTGGAGATTTGGGTGACATTTATGGGATAACTGGCCTGCAGTAAAATAAAACAACAGCAAACTGGTGTGTGTGCATGAGTAGTTAAAGCAGTGACTCACTTTTGTAAGTTTGACCCCACCTTGTTTCTTCTTGTCTCACAACAGAGCCACAGCTTCTCTGATCTCACTCAGGAAACTCCCTGAAACAACCACAACCTGTCAGCTTGACCTTTTAAAGAAATACATACACGGACATAGCAAGTTTTGCTCATTTGCACCAAGATTTTCCATAAACAAGCCTCAATGGGTTTAAACGACTTTTTTTTTGCTCAGTCCACTGGTAGTGTGTTTGTTTACCTAATAGGTGTTACCTGAACCACCAGGTAGCTATACAGACTGTCAAACAGGATCCTTATAAATAATATAGACTAGAAAGACTCACTCTCTATGTTCAAGCACCTGAATTTCTCTGCAGGTGGTGCTCTGGTGTCACTGCACGTGATGCATATGTGGAAGGCAAGAAGTGAAAGTGACCTTTTGACACCCTGCAGTAGCTCACTCTGTCCTCCCATTTGTCTCCAGGAAACCTGAGAGGAGGTGAGCTGACACAATGCATAGACCTGCAGAGAGGAGATGACCTGTCAAGCACAAGTGACAGACAGGAAGTATTTGGACAGCAAAAATTTAGGTGATAAGTATTTTAATAAATACATATACGTATATATATAAAACTAGTGAATGTAAGACCTCAGAGTAAATGCCAGTATTATTTTATTACTTGTTAGAATTGTACATAGGTCATATATATAATAAATGCAGATCATCTGTAGTTTTGTTTTCTTTGTTTGTTCCTGGGTTCTCTGGTTATCGTTTTGAGCTTCTGTTCCCTAACATCATCATGTGACATGAGGGACACCTACAGGAGACAAACTGTCCTTTGGGGTGAGGTAGTAGGTTGTATAGTTTTAGGGTCCTTCCCAAGTTGTCAGATGACTATACAACTTACTGTCTTTCCTGGAGCGACTGTGCTAGCATCATCACCGGAAAATCAGGAGTTCGTTGTGCTCATCACTGAAAACTTGTGATTTTTCTTGGTTTTTACTTTGAAGTGATATGTTACAAAATGTTAGAGTAAAAGTAAATAATACTTTATTTTTTATTACAGTTAAATCAGGGAGAAAGGAGGAATTGTGGAATTTTAGACTCTAACACTTTAACACTCATGCTATCATCACACACCTCAATGTTAATGACACACAGTAGCTGTGTTTTCATTTATACAGTGACCAGATCTGACAAACCCTCACTAATCCCCCATCCTCCTCCTACCCACCTGGGTGACTTATGGTGTTCGTACAGGGTGAGGTAGTAGGTTGTGTGGTTTCAGGGTTGTGATTTTACCCCATCAGGAGCTAACTATACAACCTACTGCCTTCCCTGGAGGGCAGCAATACATCACAGGAGCATACACACCCTTGTCATCTTTTACTCAGACTCTAAACATGACAGGCCTGGTATTTGATTTCAGAGGTTTCATTGAATTGGTGAGTGTTGCTCAATTACAATATGCATTTGATAACAACATTAATAATCGCTTATTAGATTTGTAACTGGTAAAAAAAAAAATAATGAGGAAAATGCAGTTGGGCATAGAACTTTTTTTAACAGCATTCATGTATTTGTACTTTTTTATTAATACTTAAATAAAGACTGGAAAAGAAATAATTGTAGAATGACCAGTGATTGGAGTCTGATCTTTATAGTGTTCAGAAGAAATTGTGCCTTCTTCTGTAATCCTTTCCATAACCCATTATATGTTGAAGTACTAATCTGTGGTTTAAGAACATGTAGACATTAAATGCTCTGTGTGTGTGTGTGTGTGTGCATTGTTGTTCTTTTCTATTGTAAAACACAGGCAATTACCTGTAAAAGATTTTGGTAGTAGGAAACTCAAAGTAAACAACCAAATAGAGCTGTAATGTTTTATTTGAGCTAAGCATATTTGACAAATATTTCTGTACTTTGCGATTAGGAAACCTTTTTTGTACTCATAGGAAGTGACCTAGGTTTTCAAGTTTGATCACAGACTTCAGCAAAGTTGATATCTGGTCCACACAGGTTCTCATAATCTATGGTGGAAATCAGGAGAAGAGAGACTTTGAAACTTTCTTTTGCATTCATTCACAGTAGATGGCGCCAGATATGACATGTTGTGTTGTCTGATGCCTTACTGTGACACTGGCAGTACTCGCTAAGTGCACATGTGCAAACTTTAGCACAGAAAGAAAAACTGGCTGCAAGTGCAGTAAGTGTACCAGAAAGGATGGCCTTTATTATAGGCGGTTATTTTACATGAAGTATCCAAGCTCTTACTTTTTCTTGAATGCAACAACAAATTCATCGGTGACACATCTCTTTATCACTGCTTAAGTCAGGGCGGTTAAGCGTTTAACAAACTGTACCGGTGTAACAGAAGAGGCTAAAATTGCAGTTCTTTATATTATTTCTTTGTGGAACATACACCTAACAGCAGGTCAGCTGTAACACAAACAGCAGCTTCAGTGGTCTATTTACAGGTTTCTCACTGTTAGTGTTGGTATGAGAGGTATGTCCTCTGAGAGTTCAAAACAGCCTGGACACTTGCCCTCAACACCTTGGATGACTGTTGGTAGAATGCAGTTACCTATGTTTCTGTTTCCCAGCTAATATTTCAAAATGAACACTATGGGTCAAAATCTGTATTTTCATACAAACAACCTTTTGTTACACACACATGCACATATATAGAGAGAAGAAAGTATTTTGGAGCTGATGGAGGTGGAAATTATTCATTGACTAGATGAATCTATTTAAATTAGAATCTATTCATTATATTATAGGATCATATGTTTTGCAAGTAAAATGTTAATCTGTAGGCTGAAATGTTGTATAGATATTTCTCTTTGAAATGTAGTGTTTTTAAGAATATGCATAAAATTGAGTGGCCTACTTCAAATGTACATTAACTAGACCTACAGCAGTTAAATAGACTTGGTTAACAACGCTGAATACTACAGGGGTAGTCAAGCAGCATATTGTTTGGCATTTTATTAAAATAAAACTGGTTTTGTTTAGCACTTGTGTAACTAATGTTATGCCGTTTAATTAGAATGAATGATTTACAATGGCTCGACAGCGATTCGTTATGATGAGCTGCCATAAATTTTACAGTAACTTGAAGATGGAGCCAATCGACCCACGTGTTTCACTGACATGGGAGCAAGTGACAGACATCCACGGTCCACATCGTGGACACCGGGAAGTAATCGTGTTCAGCCAAAACAACAGGCGACCCGCTTTCTCATCCCTATTTATCCATTGGCTAAAACTATAGGTGTGCGCGCGTGTCTACGTGCGTCGCTACGTTATTTCCTGCAGAGGATGAGCGGAGTTTTGACAGCGCTGAAATAGGCAACGCACCGCGTTTTGGACAGAGCTGATAGGATCAGTGTGCGTCGGAGGTTCCCGCGATCATCTCGAAATGATTCCCGTCGTTGTTCTTGAGGTAAATAACAACATTTATTACAAAACTGTGTGTCATTGAGGATTTCCACCCTGTTGTCTGATCAGATTTAACTAAATTGTATTATTTGCTAGGCGAACTAACTAAGAGTATATACTGTCTGTAAATGCTGAGGCTGCTGATTTCTTGCTCCTATTGTTGCAAATATCTTTGTAGCCTATCTTATTATAGGCTATGTTGGGATAGAGGCCCTTCCGAACCTCCTAACTAAACAAACCTTCACCTGGTTTTATATTAAACCACACACAACCACACGATGTCGAGAAAAGCATCTTTCATTAGAGGAAATTGTTTCCATTGCCATGTTTGTGGAGCAGCGTTACTGAGATATAGTTTCAGATTACTAAATATAATATTTATGTAATTGCAGAACTTGTTCAAAGCAAAATGTAGAAGTTGCTTTTGGGAGTTCTTCTCTACCTGGTCTGGGGGTGCATACATGATCTTGCTGGGGAGAGATCAAAGGGCAAAACAGCTGATACTGATTCACTGACAAATGGGAGAGATCTGTTCTCCACTCTGAACTGACATTGCCTTGTCTTACATCTTGAATGACAGGTGGAAACAAACTAAGAGCATCTGCAGGTATCCTCTGCTGAGCATCTGCTGACCTGAAATTCAATATTTTGTTTTGTTTCTTTTTATTTTCTCTTGATTTTGGGTTTGTTGTACTTCACTGTTAACATTCTTTGTTGAGTGCCATACACTCCTGTCTCAGTGCAGCTCCTGTTACTTCTTCTCCTGTGACCTAAAGATAGACCACTGTGTTTGGGATTATAGTTCCTCTGGGAGTTAAAAACAATGTCTTCTGAGGTAATGGGGAAACAAGGGCTGGGCCAATGTCATCGCCGAAACAGGAAATATAGGTCTCAACACGGTCAAGAGTTACTGTAGTTCTTGACCTACTTTAAATGTACAGGATGGGTGAAAAGTAACTAGGCATTAAAAATTGGCTATAGAACTTGTAGTATCACTGGAGTCATGATGAAAACAGTCTCTAAATAGACGATAGTAAATAGGATTTCATATGAAATGAAGAAAAGGTCATTAAAAACTCCAAAAGTATTCAAATGTGTGTGGACTGAGGTGTCCACATACTTTTGGCCATATTGTGTATCTGTTGGATAAAGACAAGCTGAAGTCAGTCTTCTCATCTAAAAGAAGTTTTTTTTATTTCCAAAAATGCTGTGTTGTCTCATATGAAATCACTATCATTTATTTGGAGACTGTTTTCATCATGACTCCAGTGATACTACAAGTTCTATAGTCAATTTTAATGCCTAGTTACTTTTCACCCACCCTGTATATCAACACAGACCCAGTACAGCTAAATGAAATGAAATGAATGAATGAAATAGGTGTAAATTAGAGACCATGTGAGCTCATTAGAAAGTTGTGACCAGCAACTAATTTGTCTGTTTCAGCAGACAAATTAGAAACAATTCAGTGCGTGTCAGAGCAGCTTTTGCCATTTACTAAGAGTAAAAGCTAATGAATAAATTAACTATTTATTGCATTTAGTGCAGGCCAGAGGGGAGGTGTGGAGACAGAATTTAGATCTTTACTGTAAAATCATCAAAACCAGACCTGAAAATGGTTACACTTGTGTTGTGATGGTATCCTACATACAGTATTTTGCATACAACTCAACTGCAGTGCACGTTCAGTAGAATGTAAAGAACATAGATGTCGAGATGCAGGTAAATTATGCCATATGAGGTTCATAACAGAAATTTTCTGCATTAGTGTAGGCTGACAGTGATGCGTTCTCAAACTCTAACTTTTAAGAAAAAAAATCTTAGAAATGTTTGAAAGACATGGCCATTGCAGAAGGAAAAATATGTGTGTGGCTAAATGTTCCCTTTGTACCCTTTGACAGAGAAAGCTGTGCTGGCTGACAGGGCCATCAGTTTGTCAGAAGGCAGGCACTGTGTGTCAAAGCAGCTTGACAGCCTGGTTAGCCAACAGCTGTCTCAGTGTGTACAGTCACAAAGTCTCACTGCTCTTTGCCTGAAAAACCTTTCTGTAAACAAGAAGCAAGAGAGAAGAGACACACTCTATAGTGTACTCCATATGATACGGTGCACAGTAAACTGTAGCTCCATTTACGTACACAAAAATCCCTCTTACACAACATTTAGTTTACTGTCAGGACCTGTACCCTGAAATGCTGCAACACAGAGACCAGATAAACAAGAACAAATCCTGCTTTGATCAATCATGCCCACACTGTCTGGCCTCAAGAGTTGACCAAGTTCATGTTTTCTACCTGAAATGATAAAGACAGTACATGACCTAATTGTTATGTTCAGCCATTAGCTCAACCAGCACACTTGCTGATTCTCAGTAGTGAAAGTTTTTGTTGCACAATCCCGATGCTTCTTCCATACTTGGCTTACAGATGTGAACAGCTGTGTAAACAAAGCTCGCATCAGCATTTTAATGGCTGCACAGCCAACTCTCTCTGTATATTCGATCAGAGATATGGTTGATTCCTGTCTAGATTGTATAATAATTTTGTTACCATTATAATATGGATAGAATTGTATTGTAATCATGTAAGAGAAAATGTATGAGAAGGTTATGTGTGTATATATAATGGAAAATTTATGTTTTCCTGCTTCCATTTTACATTTTAGTGTCCATTATCATTAATGCATAGAGGCTTCACTGCCAAAATATGCTTTGTACAGTAATGCTGTAATCTGCCAACAAATCAGGCTTAGAGAGCAGCAACATTAACATCTGTGGCTTTAATTTACTGGACGTTGGAAACGAGTGTTGTGGAACCTGAGCATTAGCCATGGCGGCTTGATGTTGTGTGATGGCCTAAACAGATGCCCTTTACCCTGCTGTGAACAGTTGGACTCTCCACCAAACTCCCTCCCATGCATACTTCAAGATCCACTCTGATAATAGACAGAAAAGGAACAGACAGAGAAACAGACATGTAGTGGGAGCGCTAGATAGAGCTCTTTCCTTGTTGCATGTAATCTGACTTTGAGAAAGTACTTAAAGCTGTGTGCCCATATATTCCATATAATGTAAGCATGTAAACAGCATGTAAACACTTTATCTTTTTTAAAGTCAATAAATCGGAGTCAGAGCTTTCTAACAAACTCAGCATATGTACTTTGGCTGTGATACTTCATCAGTTTTATTCATTGTTCAAAATAAACACTCATTTCAATTCTGATGCCTGTAACACATTCCAAAACAAAAGTTGGGACAGTTGCATTTCAGGGCAAGTAATGAGGTAAAACAATGAAATGATGACTCCATTTGAAACAGGTGATGTCAAGAGGTGATTGCAATCATGATTTGGTACAAAGGTGGCATCCAGGAAAGGCCTAGCCCTTTAAGAGCAAAATAGGCAGATCACCAGTTTGCCAACATACTGTATGTGTGAAAAAATTTATGAAATGTTTAAAAATAATGTTCTTCAAAGAAAGATAGGAAGGGATTTGGATATGTTACCCTTTATGGTGCATAACATAATTAAAATATAATAAAGGTGCAAGCCTAAGCTGGATGACCGTGCGCTCTGATCCCTCAGATGGCACTGCATCAAGAATCATCACTCTTCTATAAGTGATATAACCACATGGGCTCAGAATTACTTTGGTACACCTGTGTCAAGCACTACAATGCGTAGTTACATATATAAATGCCGCTTAAAACTGTACTGTGCCAAAAGGAAGCCCTATGTCAACAGTGTCCAGAAGCGAGTGCTCTGGGCTTGGAGGCATCTGGGATTGACCATCAGTGGAAACATGTCAGACAAATCAGTATTTAAGGTCTTTTTTGGAAGGAATGGACACTGTGTGCTCCAGACCAAAAATGAAAAGGACCATCCAGACTGTTACCAGCAACAAGCCCATATGCCAGGGTCTGTCATGGTCTGGGGATGTGTCAATCCCCTTAGCAAAGGTAACTTACAATTCTGTGATGGCTCCATTAATGCTGAAAAATACATAGAGATTTTGGAGCAACATATGTTGCCTTCAAAACGACGTCGTTTCCAGGGACGCCTATGCGAAGTTCAACAAGACAATGCAAAACTTCATACTGCACACATTACCAAGGCCTGGCTGTGGAGGAAAAGGGTGCAAGTGCTGGACTGGCCTGCCTGCAGTCCTGACCTGTCACCAATAGAGAATGTGTGGTGCATTTTGAAACTCAAATTACTTCAACAATGACCCAATTACACTTGACACACTTTATTGCTTGGTGTCCTCAGTCCCTAAATGCCTTTTAAGTGTTGTGAAACGAAATGACAGTATCACACTGTGGTAAATGCTTCACTGTCCCAACATGCTATTTGTAATGTGTTGCAGGCATCAGGATTGAAGGGAGTGTTTATTTTGAGCAAAGAATAAAATTGATGAGGTATCGCATCAAATAATGTGCTGCTGTATTATTTTCAGTGAAATACAGGACACAGATGGTTCACATCTCACTATTTTTAGTTTTAATTTTGATTTTACATACCATGCCAACTTTTTCTGATTTGGGGTTATATTAGTAGTTATGTATTCATGCTGCACAGTAGATTTCAGATTTGTTCATGTCTGTAATGTTTTGTCGACAACATGCTAAACCTGCAGCCAGGCTACTTTGTGAGCTAACATGTTTTCCTGGCTATGAATATCCCAAATGTGAGGTGGAAAGGTACCTTTGAGCCACACAAAAACCTACTGGTGTGCTCAGTGGGATGCACTTGCTCCTGTAGCTCTTGGAAATAATTGGGTGAAATCTTCAAACATGCAATTTGAGCACTCAGAGTTGGAAAGCAGGAGTATCTGGAGGGTTTCTAGTCTCACTATCATCCCTTGTTTTTGTCCATATTCTCTTTCCTCTCTTTTTCTTCTAGTCTGGTCAGTGAGGGATTGTCTTCCACCACCCCCTGAGGTTTGGCTTTATCTCCACCATGCCACTGGATCTGTATTGCCCTCCATCCCCAATGGGAGATTCCCTCATGAATAGTCCCCTGTGTGGAGACCTGATGGAGGATCTTCGTGACATCTCCCAATCTATAGGAGATGATGCCCTGGGATTTGATTTCCCAGAGTACCAGAATACTGGTTCAGGCTCCGAGAGCTCCACTGCACTGGGTGAGTAGTGAGGTAGCCTCATGGTGGGAAGAATCACAGGGTACATAAGAAGGTGTTGAGAAAGTACAAAAAACAAGAACCCTTGGTTCTCACAACTGAATTATTCAGTTAACATGTAGGGGTTCACCTGCACTGCAAAGTATTCATTGAGATGTTGTGATGATGCCAAATATTTAGTCTCCTCACTGTATGCTAACTAATTATCTTGAACCAAGCTGCTTTTAAAGCTGTACTGTATTTACTCATTTACAGGAAGTGTTGTTTATTCAAACACTTACCTTCTGACCTGTCAGCTCCAATGTGTCATATGTAAATTCACTAGAGAGAGTCATGTAAAGCAGTGTGTGTCTCTTAAAAGAAAAAAATCAATCTGATTCCTCTTCGTCTCTTATGCCAACATTCCTGAGCAGGAGACATTGCAATGTACTCAAGTAAACAAAAGCAGAGGCCCATTTGCCAGGACTCATTAGCAATTCAGTTTTATTTGTATAGCGCCAAATCCCAACTAACATTATCTCAGGACACTTTACAAAGTAAGGTCTAGACCTTACTGTTATTATTATTATTATTATTATTATCATCATCGAGGGAAAACCCAACAAATCCCCCTTGAGCAAGCACTTGGCGACAGCGGGGAGGAAAAACTCCCTTTAACGGAAGAAACCTCCGACAGACCCCGGCTCTTGGTGGGTGGCCTTCTGCCTCGACCGGTTGGGGTGAGTGGATAGAGGAGAGACAAAAGAAAAAAAGCAACAAGACACAACAATCAAACACTGATCAGGTTGATGTGGCTGGTGACTGCTTGTCAGAGACATAGAGCTCCAGGGCCAGGGCAACCTGCAGAAATGTAAAGGGAGAGAGAGAGAAGACACAGTATGGGAGAGAGGAGAGACAAAGTTAGTGATATGAGCCTCACCTGAGAGCAATTTCTCAATTCTGGACATATTTCTTAGCAAACATCTACTCACACTTTGTAGAAATCTGTACAGACATACAATTCTGAGAACATGTTCACTCATTTTGATAGTACAGACTTCCAACCTGAAAAAAAGACTAATTGGTTTGGTGGTTGTGACATTTCAGCTGAGAACCAGGACAAGTTATTTTGCACAGCTGGACAAAAGCAACAAGAATTGTCAAAAACAGCTGACAGATGTACAGAACCATTTGCATGTTGTCCAAAAGCAATTGCAATTTGATGAAAACAACAAGAAATTGCTGATATGTGAAAAACTGACAACAGAATCTCACGGTTGAACGAGTAGTTCTGAGAAATGCAGATCTGTTGTGAGAAATGAATGAAAGCGATAGAGAAAAACTGCTTTGTATGTTAGGAGAATAAGAGAGGATGTTCCTGATTTTGGCAATATTGCACAGGTGAAAGAAGGCAGTTCTGGAGACTTGGTTTATGTGTGATTTAAAGGACATATCCTGGTCCAGAATGACTCCAAGGTTCCTGACAGCAGTACTGGAGGCTAGAGCTCTGTCATCTAGAGTAACTATATGATTAGACAGCAGATTTCTAAGGTATTTAGGCCCAAGTACAATAACTTTGGTTTTGCCAGAGTTTAGAAGTAAGAAATTACAGGTCATCCAGGCCTTTATGTCTTTAAGACACGCTTGAAGTTTGACCAATTGATCTGATTCATCTGGGTTCATGGATAAATATAACTATCATCTTCTAGTCACTTTATATCTCTTTTGTTAAATTCATGTACAATAAACAGTTGGCCTAGCTAAGATAAGCTTATGCTAAGCTAACCAGTCGCTGGCTGTTGCTTCGCTAGACATAAGATTGGTAGCATTTTCCTCATCTACAGTAATTTTGAGATGAAAGTGAAGAAGTGTATTTCCTAAAATCTTAAACAGTTTCTTAAATTATTGCCAGCTTTGGAAGGTTTACCTGCCCTCATTCATAAACGCACTATATGTGTACTGTGTATCATTTTTAAACCTTTTCCCAAGAAATTGATGTCTCAGCTTGGAACTGAGCTCTATTAAAATGTAGCCTTGTGAAGTCACTAACTGTTTTCCTCTTTATGCTGTGTTGTCTGCTGTAGACACCTTGACCCCAGCTTCCAGTCCGTTATCAGGGGTGTGTGGAGCAGCAACAAGCCCCGAGGAGAGCTTCAGCCCCATCATCCTGGAGTGCCAGGTGTGCTCAGACAAGGCTTCAGGCTTCCACTATGGAGTGCATGCATGCGAGGGCTGCAAGGTGAGAAATGTGGGGCTAAAACAGGGATAGTTCCACCAAGCAAGAAATACTGTATTGTTTGCATGTAATGACATACTGTGTATATTAAAGTGAGAAAAGGGGAAAAGACCTTACACATATATTAAATAGAAAAATAAAACCTGATAGAGTCTTGTTCAGAGTGATTATCACTTGAACTGCAAATACAAATGTTGCTTTTGGGGTCCCTGAATGTAACTGTGCAATAGTATCAGAACTGAAAAACACAACATACACATACATTCCTGCACTCAAGCACGTACACCTGAACACATACAGAGTTTGGCATGCAGAGGTGCCTGACCTAGAGGCCAGTGGAAAATTTATGAGACGGGGGACATTGGCCTTGGCTGACTTGTCACCTCACCCTGAGTTGGCACAGAGCCTAACTGAGTAATGTTAATATACATACACAAATTCACAGTTGTAATTGTGTGGAGCACTGCAATGCCTATACCAAATTACCTTCTTACAAAGTCACAATGAGATTTAATGCTAAGAAAATTTTACAAATATTTAAACGTTTTTTATCATATAGCGATTCAGCCCTCATACTTAAATTAATTACAGTATGTTGATATACCTGGGATTTCAGATATTCCTAAGGGTTAGGGAGAGTATAAAAATGTCACAATGAGAATATTTTGTAACCAAGACCACTGAGCTCAATGTGTTGAAACCTATAAGGATCATCCGTGTTTTGTTTGCAAGTCACATGAGCTTGTTGAAGTCTTATACCTTCCTAAGACAACTGCAGGTTGTTACTGCTAATCTGAGTTCCTATTTTCTGTTTTTGCATGACATTTCCACTTGTGACCTTGCTTGGTCACAAGTGGGACCTTGTCTGTTACTCCCAGTCCTATCAGTTGCACAATACTCATTTGTCTGTTTTTGAACACTAGAAACCTGGCCAGCTCCCTGCAGGGCTGAGGTTTATGACCCACATCTCATTCTTTACAGTCATTACAAATAATACTCATCTTGCCATCCCAATACAATATATCTTATATCTAATATCTTATTGCTTCAGAGTTCTCCTTTCTAAAGGATAGACATGATGAAACTGAACTGTTGGACATTGCACATGTGAGATGTGTACTTTGACAGCACTCTGTTCCAAAATTCTTTGACTGATGATGATATTGTGCCACTGTGGAAAAAATCTGGCTTGTGATTTGTAGCAGTCACCGCTAACGCTTTTCCATGCTGGACAGACTGTGTATCATTTTCGGCATCTTGCTAAAAAGAGAGGAGCAATCCATAGTGGGAAAACTGAATGGAATGTGTTGTGATACTGTGGTGTGAGGACTTACAGTAAGTCTGTATGAATGGACATTTACAGTAGCAGAACAGTCAGTACACTTTGAGAAACTATTTTTATTGGAAAGTTGAATCATAAAGGTAAATCTATATGCTCAATAGGTGGAAATTAGTGTGCTGTACCTCCAAAATTTAAACTAGGTGGAAATTAGTGTGCTGTACCTCCTAAATTTGCTTTTAGTATCACTGAAAGACATTTGACAGACAGTACTATAAAAACGCACATCTGTATTTTTCCTCCTCATGCAGTTTTGTTATTTAGTGTACACCAAAGGATCATATGTTTTGGCATGTGCGGTATCTGTTATTGTGTGTTAGCATGCGGCCTTGTATCTCAGTGTGAGTTGGAGGCATTCAGCATGTCTTATCCAATCAGGGCTCTCCTTTGGAAAAGTCAGGGTCTACTCTACACCTTGAAGTATATTAGTCTTTAAATACAGATGTAATTCAACTGTGTACTCCAATACTAAATGTAATAAAACACTGGTCCTACCAGGGCTTAAAGTGTACAGAATATATGTACAGCATTGTAAGGTGCTGAGATATAAGATGAATTGCTTTACTGAGTGATGATGGTCTTTGTGCACAGATTTTATCAATATTGAATGTTCCCTCTTAAATGTCTTGTTGTTCTGAGGATGAAAAATAACCTGATCATGGGTATAACAGCAGTACTTCCTGGTTTTTGGGTCATTTTTGACACAGCATTTATAAAGTTTTAAATCATTTACAGATAAAATCAAGTATTAATAAATAATAATGTTAAAGTATAGTAAAGAACGAAAACCCTCCTGTTATAAACTCAAGGCAGTATGATCAATTTTCTTTTTGTTAAGCCATGATAGAAGCCTTTGCAGCACATGTTTAAGATAACTGAAAGTAATCTTGATCCACCTGAGGCTGCAAACAGAGCAGGCAAAAAAGAGGAGATGCCAGTTCTACTCTCAAAAGAAGAACTGTAAAACAAACAATGTGGGAAATGCATTTGTAAAGCACATTTTTGCAGACTGGGGTACTGTCATACATGTTTCTAGTGGAAGAATACATGTACATCATTGGAATTTGAGCCTAATAAATATTAGAGTTCATGAAAGTAATCAAAATTACCACATTTCCTGAATAAGAATAGTAATAACAAGTCTTGCAAGCAAGTATAAATAACAGCACCCCACACAATGCAATTTGGATCTATGCACTGTGAAGTATATAAAAAACTGTTGCTTGGCAGATATTCTGTTTATGTGAAACTGATTTCTGGTGTAAAAATTAAGAAGCCTCACTGGAAAAATGAAATTGTAGATTAAGTTGATAGCTTATGTGATATTCTGTCTCAAATAGGGTTTCTTCAGGAGGACCATCAGGTTGAACCTGGACTACGAAAAGTGTGAACGCAACTGCAAAATCCAAAAGAAGAACCGCAACAAGTGTCAGTACTGCAGATTCCACAAGTGCCTCTCTGTGGGCATGTCTCACAGCGGTAAGGCTTGAAACCTCCAGATTATTTTTAAATTAGTTTGTACAAGTTCTTTTGCTGAGTAATAGCAACTGTAGCCACAAGTGATAATTGTAGAATAAAAAAAACACAATGCAACAGTACTACAAATAAAGAGGAGTCAGAAAGGCTGTGAACTGACTCGGTAATGCCAGTTACACAGCAGTATCTACAGTAGTTAAAGTATGCTAACATTAGCCACCATAATACACTGCTCATACAAGACCAAGGAAGACTACAGCACCAAAACCTCATGTGCACTAATGGCAGCAAGATTTAATTTGTAAGCTATTAAAAATATATCTTTCAAAACAATCTTGTTTTAAATGGTATATTAGCGATTGCTGGTAACATAATTACTGTAATCATCATGTGTACTGAAACACACACCAGTTCAGTGTGGCTTTCATTGACTGGATTTTTATAGAACAGTGTCCGGCTAGAGCTAGTTTGACATTGAGAAAACGCAGGCCCATATAGCTCCACAACTGGCCTGTCATCTGCACTGACTGCTCAGGGGTCATTGAGTTTGTTATGATGGCCTCCCACTGTAGACAGTGTCAGTAACCTGACTCCTGACAACCGGTACGTTGTTCTGAGAGGAGAGTAAAGAAAACAGAACAGACCAGATCTGTTGTGGGTGAATGTTATGCGCTATGCACATAGCTGTACGAGGACAGGTCTGATGAACCTATGTACTTTCACTGAAAATAAAGTTCTTCTAGCTGTTGCTAATGATGAATGTCTCCATGCACCAGCCATCCGATTTGGTCGAATACCACAGGCAGAGAAGCTGAAGCGCAAGGCAAAAAGCAAGACGGTTGAGAAAGAACTGAAAAGCCCATTGCTAGCTGACCACAAGATTCTGGTCAGGCAGATTTACAGAGCCTATATGAAGAATTTCAACATGAACAAAGCAAAAGCACGGTTCATACTCACTGGAAAAACCCCCAAGCCGGTAAAAGAAAACAAAACCAAGAACAAAAAGTTTCAGGATATTATTTATTATATTTCTCTGTTCTGTCCTCTCTGTCCACCCACCAACATATCTCCCCTGTCTTTCCCAGCAGCCTTTTATCATTCATGACATGGAAACGTTCCAGCTTGCAGAGAGGACATTAGCAGCCCATATGGTAAATGGTGACTGTCCGGAACTGGAGAGCAGCTTTCAAACTGGGGAGGTGGTTCTGGCTCAGGGGCGTGGGGAGCTCCAGCAGAGGCAGGCCGAAGCCAGACTCTTCCACTTCTGCCAGAGTACCTCAGTGGAGACAGTCACAGAACTGACAGAGTTCGCTAAGGCAGTGCCAGGTTTCCAGAGCCTGGATCTGAATGATCAGGTGGGTTAAAGATTGTATCTGTCATCTATCTTCGATGTGAGAAGGTACAGACAGAATGCTTTTTTGTTTGAAATTTGACAGATTTTGTTGCTTACTTCATATTTAGGTTACTCTATTAAAGTATGGTGTTTATGAAGCCCTCTTCACTCTCCTGGCCTCCTGCATGAACAAAGATGGCCTCCTGGTTGCCCATGGTGGAGGCTTCATAACTCGTGAATTCCTCAAAAGCCTCCGACGCCCATTTAGTGACATGATGGAGCCCAAATTCCAGTTTGCCATGCGCTTTAACGCCCTGGAGCTGGATGACAGTGATCTGGCCCTTTTTGTGGCGGCTATTATCTGTTGTGGAGGTAACACTAAGTGGAATGATAACAGAAGATAGGAAATAGATTCATCAGTTTAAAAATGCTTAATGAGTGTAGATTTACAACATAAATTATCACTTTCCCAAACAGATCGTCCAGGTCTAGTGGATGTACCTCTAGTGGAGCAGCTGCAGGAAAGCATTGTTCAAGCACTGCAGCGCCGCCTGCTGGCTAACCACCCTGATGACACCTTCCTTTTCCCCAGGCTTCTGCAGAAACTGGCTGACCTCCGGGAGCTGGTCACCGAGCATGCCCAGTTGGTGCAGGAAATCAAAACAACAGAAGACACACTGTTGCATCCTCTCCTGCAAGAGATATACAGGGACATGTACTGAGAAGATAGCACATGTATTAAGATGTTATTGTAAGCCAGGTATTTCCAAAACTGGGTATACCTACAGAATACACATTAACTGATAACAACCAGGCATATCAGTGTATTCTAAGTAGCTAATTGTGCAGCTTTTATGGATGCACACTGCTGTGACAATAGAATGGTAAAACTTTCATCTGGAACAAAAAAAAAAAAAAGAATCAAATTCTTTTTAGGGGAATGGCAGCTCTTGTAGGGAAGGGTTAGGGTTCTGTAAAAGGGGAGACAGAAAAGTCATATTCCTAATATTTTGAATACGTCACCTTAATTTACAGGTGATTTGAATGTGATTAATAGCTTTGCCAAGTCCTTTGTACTAGTGCCTTCTTGATACTGGTGCCAGATAAGCGGTTGAGGAAACACCTACATCAGTTTTCACCAAGTGCCATAATGTTTCAAGGGCTGAGCGTATTTTTGCTTTTGATCACACCTTATACATCCACCACATAACAAATATGTACCAGAGTCCATAAAAAGCTTTATATATAACTATTTAATTTTGGATCAAGGAATGTTCTCACAAATCAACCATCAATTGAAAATATTGTACTTTAATGTGTTACATATTTATTTACTGTAATAATTTTTATTCTACTGCTGGCGGCATGGTGATGCAGTAACCAGTGCTGTTGCCTCACAGCAAGAAGGTTCCGGGTTCAAGCTCTGGCCGACCCGATGCCTTTCTGTGTGGAGTTTGCTGTTTTCCCTGTGACTGCGTGGGTTCTCTCCAGGTACTCCGCTTTCTCCTACAGTCCCAAGACATGCAGCTTAGGTTGATTGGCAACTCTAAATTATTCTTAGGAGTGTGTGTGTGTGTGTGTGGTTGTCTGTCTCTAAGAGTCAATGTGATACATTGGTCCAGGATGTACCCTGCCTCTCACCCAGTGATAGCTGGGATTGGCTCTAGCTCCTCTGTGGCCCTCATTGGGATAAGTGGTATACAGTGGATATAAAAAGTCTACACACCCCTGTTAAAATGCCAGATTTCTGTGATGTAAAA